AAATCCTGTAATATAGCACATATTCTGCACTAAACAAATTGGCAGCAGTGGCTGCTATGCATCATGAGCAATCCTGTGACAAGACAAATAGATCTGCTTTGACCCTATCATAAAATTAATCAATAATAATATCCGAACTAATGAAACAGCCACTTGTAAAAATTAGTGTTGCCCATCAGCTTTTATAAAACGTGATTAATTTCTATGCATTAAACTGTATTACTGAGGAGGGAAATCATTAAGCACCTTTCAGCTACTCCTTGTTGATAGTAATAAGAAAAGAATTGTTTCTGAAGCTGCTCCACTCCATGAAATCTTTTAAAATCTAATTACTGGGATGGGGGAGGAATATTCAAATCACTCATAAACCTTCCGTTGCATATTACTGCTATTCCTCTCACAGGCACCACGGAGTCTTTATAAACAGCAGAAATCAAGTCTTTGCTAAAAAATAGTTATACACAATCTCAAATGCCTTGCATGATGGATGGCAGAATTCATGGGCATTCAGTTTTACATTCACTGCAGTTGACTCAAATGATCTCCTGGTAAAGGAAAAGGGTAAAATTGCTGGTCTAGCACGGTCAAGCCCATAGAGGAAGGATGCCAGCAAGTAGTGCTCCACGGTTAGCTCAGAATTATTAAAAAAGAGGTTGAGGAAGTTGGAAACAATAAAGATTTTGGCTCTAAAGATCTGTGACTCCTTTTTTCTAACCTGGAAAGAGGATGAGCATGGAAAGCAGCGGGGGGGGGAAGTGTGTCCGAGTAGGGAGTTAGAAAAAAAAAAAAGAGGGCACTGATAGGGCTGTCAGAAAGACACACAGATTTGAAATTATTTTTCCCTCTTTGAAACCTAAACCTATATAGAACCTGTATATGCTGAGCTTGAGCTGAAAAGACAATGAATTAGTCCTTGCACCTGCAATTGCCAAAGAAAATCTGCCAAATGCTGCATAAGATAACCTGCTTCTTTTTTATTTCTAAAATCTGCCTTCCAATAAAATCCTTCCCTCAAGGCACGGTAGATGATCCAACGAGGCTGTGGAGAGTGGCTGGAGAGCTGTGATGTTCAGCCACAGCCTCAGTATTCAGAATGGCCAGAGGCTGGCGCCGGACTGAGCCAAGAGGTAGCTAGCCGAGCAGGGCTGACTCAAAGAGATGCGGGAAGCAATGTAATTCCACCTGAGACACAAGGATCCGCAACACTTCATACTTTACCTATTCTGCAGCAAAGATATTCCAAGATCCTTACAGTGATTGCTATGTATTTTTATCCCCAATTTAGACATGGGAAAACAAGGCCAGAGACGTTAAATGTGTTTGTCAAGAAAGTGTTCCCAGTGGTAGAATAGGAGAAGACATTACAAGTGAAATCTTCATCTTGCCAAAATCCATGAGTTTTGCTGCTATCTTCAGCAGACTCATGTTTTCACAAGAAACAATTCCCATTTTCACAGTTTTTCTCAGCTGTTTATGCCTTCCATCTTAAAAGTTACAAAACGACAGCAGAACCTAAACTTCACCTCTGAAAATTAATTTATGTTACATCACAAATTAATCTCATCAAAAAATGGGAGTGTGATTATCACTAGCCTCAAGTATCCTAGGAGTTTAAAGACAAAAGATATTAGGAAACATTATTTTTCACTATGAACATTGAGACAGTTAGTATGCACGTGCAACTTGTAGAAGAAATCAACATATCTTTCCCTGGGAGACTATTACAGAAGCTTACCAGCTGAAAGGGCGAGTCAGGCATTCCTCACCAGGATGGACATATTATCACTTATGTGGACATGGATGAAAGGTCTCAGTGAGTAATCCCTGGCCCCAGGAAGATCTGCTTTCTAAGGTGCACCTTGCTTTTCTTATTTGGACCCCTCATACCTATTTGCTCTCAGGTAGAGGAGGGTGGTTAGCAGGTACTCAGCTCCCTCTTTGGTCCCAGGCTTAAATTAGCAGGAAAAGGCAATGCAGCTGTTCAGGATGATTCAGAAAGTATCACTATCCCTGAATTTTCTGCTTTGTCTTGTTGAGACTAATAAGAAATTTCCTCTTTGAGTAAGGCAATTAATATTTAGATCCATTCCCTTTGAATTAAATTGTTATCACAGAAACTAACCTACTTACACCTGAGTAGGTCAAAGAATGATCCGGAATTATTTTTTTTTTTTCTAAGGCCACATTATTTTAAAAACTACGATTTCACAGCCCTCCTGATGGCTCATAACTGAAAAAGTATAATTTTGCCTGTAAAAGGGCATTTGCACAAATGAAGTACAATCCCCACTGCTTTTAGCTATTTCTATACAACAGAAGGTTGTTTAACACAAACTGGAAGTAATTTTACTGTCAGGAGGGAATGCGTCACCCTTCGGAAAACAAAAAATGAAGTGCATGGAGAACATTATTGTAGCTAGCCTGTTTTTTGTAGGTCAGGTCTTTGTATTGCAGACAGAGATTTCTCTGCAGGGATGGCTTCTGAACTTTTCAGTGCTGGCAGGTGCGTGGTTTTCTCTTTCTGTTAAAATATCCAGAAATTTGTGAATCCTGTCCAATACTCAGGGGGTCCTATTTCCAAAGCACCTGAACAACTATTCTAGTGCAAAATTCACATATTTGCAGTCAAACTTTACTCCCCATTAAGTATGTTGTGTTCATCTTCCAATTTAAGAGATTCAGTAACAGATTTTATATTAGCCTTATTTTGGCAGGGAATGTGGAGTTGTAATGATATAACTTTTGCTGTTACAACACCAGTTAACAGTATGACACCACTATGAGTTTTTTCTCATGCTATACATTAACAGCTAAAATCGCATTGTTAGCATAGGAATAGCAATGCAAAAGGTACCACAGAGCAGCAAACAACCAAAATACTGCAGATATATATTGAGCAACACTTGAAGAAATTATCTTATTTCATATGCATATGTCAAATAGGTGCCAAATCCTTAACTTGTGTAAATCAATAGATATCATTTTCCAATCTTCATGTCCAAACGTGTAGGCTGTAGACCTCTCTGAGGAAAGCCCATGGCAGGGTAGCTGCAGTACTCTCAGTTGTTCACAGTGCAGCTAATTCTAATCTATACTTTCCTTCAGTCAAATTGTCATGCTAGCAGAGGTGCTCATTTCCAATGTTTGAGATAGAAGCAGGCCAGCAGCTGTGCAGAATTCAATGACCAGCACTCCTATAAATAAGTCCTATTCTCTGCAAAATGAAGCCTCAGATATTTTGTCCTTCTGGCCGCTTCCTATGCAGAGACAAGGAACTGGAGCCTCAACCACTCCGTGATTTCTTTCCATTTTTCACTTACCTCATAACCACATCAGTGCCTTTCTCTCAGCAGTAAGCCCCTTCACCCATGTGCCATCCCTCTCTTCTTTATACTGAACACTGAGGAGGATGAAGCACCATGAGAAGGAAACCTTTTCCTTCAGATCCTCTCTCCAGGATCAAAGGTAACTGTGGATCTGGGGGAGGAGGCTTGGAGTAACTGCTCTTTGTATTACCCATATACAT